CAGCTCTCTCTCACTAAATACATTAATCTGATACTATTACTACACAGCTCTCTCTCACTAACACATCATGCTGATACTATTACTACACAGCTCTCTCTCACTAACACATCATGCTGATACTATTACTACACAGCTCTCTCTCACTAACACATCATGTTGATACTATTACTACACAGCTCTCTCTCACTAACACATTAAGCTGATACTACAGCTCTCTCTCTCTCATTAATACATCAAGCTGATACTATTACTACACATCTCTCTCTTACTAAACACATTAAGCTGATACTATTACTACACAGCTCTCTCTCACTAACACATCAAGCTGATACTATTACTACACAGCTCTCTCTCACTAAACAAATTAAGCTGATACTACAGTTTTCTCTCTCATTAATACATCAAGCTGATACTATTACTACACATATCTCTCTTACTAACACATCATGCTGATACTATTACTACACAGCTCTCTCTCACTAACACATTAAGCTGATACTATTACTACATAGGCTTATTAGACCAAGTTAGATGCCCTTTAAGGTTCAAGAAGATTGGCCCAGAAATAAAAGATTGATAATCAATTGTATTTGTTGGAATGAAGAAATAAACAAAGGACATACATTTTCCTCCCTACGGGGAAGACAATGAAACTAATTAGAACAAGAATAAGCTCCAAATTTATTATAAAAAAAGAAGAAGAAAAGAAACATGTACCTCATTTGTATCAAATGGTTTTGGTTTCAATGCGGGAACATGAATTTCTTCATAACCCTTTCTCTGTTTTCTGAAAGAACCATCAGGCAGCTGACATCTTTTGTTTGCCATGAAATGGCTTCCTTGAGAGAAAGTCATATCCTCCAGGTCTAACTGCTTGCACTGGGCAATCTAACCAATCAGAAATCAGTAACTATATATAATTCTATTTTTTAGTATAACAAGTTTGTTAAAACAAGTAAATTTTAGCATCTAGCTCTTAAAATGTATAAATTATGTGCTAAAAGTAACTATTTCAGACAGGTAAAGGTAGTGGTAAGTGATCAATAATGAAATATCCTAGAGAAACAACAAATAAAATTTAACCAGAAATAATGACAACATGACAGAAATATTTCTTTTCCCAATTTATTAATTAAAAAAGGGGGGAGACAACAGCTCCAGCATTCTCACATATTTACTCATAATGTCTACAGCTTTAGGTCAAATTATATAAAACTATGCCTTCCAAAATAATTCAACAGTTGTAACATCTGAATCATCCAAAACTACAGTGTTCACAATGAAGCATTATATTAAACCCATCATAATGAGCTAGTGTATTTTACACGACCTTGTAACCAACTACATAACCATAGTGTTATACATACCATGACCCTGAAAGTGCTTAATGTATCTTCATGAAATTTGGAAAGCTTTCAATAACAATTTCAAGTCTTTTGTACACAAAAAAATCAGATTTGTTAATTAGTATTTTTTACTATTGATTTGTCTATGAATATATGGAGTCACATTGTTGACTGGTCCAAGTGCAAAGTGATTTTCAAGTAAAGATTAAAAATACTTTTCTTCATCTGAAAATTTTCAAATTCCATTTATGTATCATCTAAAACCTCCTAAATAAATACCAAACGTTTTTTCCCCAGCTAAGCTTTATATATTATCTGTTATATTTTGTGTCATTTCATTTCCAGGTCTTCCCCTTCTCTAATTTACCTACTACCCCTCTTTGAAGTACAAAATTGAATGAAAATTACTCATTATAATACAAATATTACTAAGGCAAAGTCTAATTTTATAACCTTCTTTGTTTATGGAGTCATAAACTAGAAAATCAGAGCTATTTGCCATGCCTACCTGCCACATCCTCTCTCTCTCTCACTAATAGCCAAGAGTTCTCTCTGAAAAATTATATCACTTATAACCAACAGAAAGACCAAGTTTTAATCAACTGAATGACATATAATGCTACATTTTTTCAGTATAGAATATTGTCAGTGTTGTCTTCAGTCTGGAAGTATTTCTTGCAGTGTTTAAATCGAAGAGCTAAAGGAATTATTTTAAGCTCCTCTTGTCTTAGTTAGAAAGCTAGATAAATTATAAGCTATAGTATACTGCTTGCTTTTTGGGTTATTTTTCTGTATTCTTAAGTGCATTATTTAAGTAAATAAAAATTATTTATTGTACTAGTACCATTATTATATACAAAAAAAAGGCTTAAATTTCATCTGCAACTGTTAGCAAAAAAACCAACAAGAGGTCAAAGGTAATTACTATATTTCTTATTTCTCATATATATATATTACATTTATTGTCATAAAAGTAACCAAAATGAAAAAAATCTAAAAATTATTAGGCTAAATAAGGTTAGATTAGGTAAGATATTGGAAAAAAAAAAAAGAATAAAATAAAATAAAAATGCTTCAATACGATAATGTGAGCTACATATTCTCCAAGTGATTTACAAACTAAATGGCAGGTGTTTTAGTTAGACGCAGTTCAAAGGGCAATAAAACAATACAATTAAGTAGAAACAGATGTAGACTGTTAAAAGTCTTAAGCTATTTAGGATAGACAATTCTAGTTTTCAGTTGCAATCTGCAGTCATTCTCGAAAGAGAAAATGTATAAATTAGATTTCATAATTTTTTTTATGCTGGTTACAAGGTTGGTCAAATTGATTGAGTGTATATAGTCAGTGTAGAGAAAATAACAAAATATAATGTTCTACTGAAGAAAAAACGTTTGATATTTATTTAGGAAGTTTTAGAGGTTATGAAAATGAAATCTGAAAATTTGCTGATGAAGAAAAGTATTTTTAATCTTAACATGAAAATCAGTTTGCACTTGGAGCAGTCAACACTCTGACTTTATATTCATCAACAAATCTTCAGTAAAAATACTTACCCCGATCGAAAGACATGAAGCTGCTGCTTGAAAGGTATATGTCACAAAACAATATCAACTATGAAAATACTCCCAAATTTTGTATTAGTAATGTAATAAGTCATGGAAAACCCCGCCAAAGTCAAATTCAGATATGAATATTCATTAAAAAACATACTAACAATACTGCACATTTTTAATTTATTTGGAACATTTTGATTGTTAGTGTTCAAATGTAATAAATACTTCTACCATAGCCAAGATGGGTATCAGGTGTTTAAAAATAGACACAAAAATATTCTAGATGAATTATTTTCTTTTTCAACTTTTTAAAGTAATGTGTATGTGCGGCTATGTATAGTTGAAGAAATCTGTAGGCATATTAATATATAGAAAGATTGCCAAGTGAAATTTTTGGTTAATAACTAGGTTGGTTGGTTGGTTGGTT